ATGAGTAATTTTCAAAGACGGCGGCACGAAAACCACACTGACACCATTCCCGGACAGAACCGACGAAATGCCCAGAAGCCTGCCTCCCCTCCTCCCAGACCGGGACAAGGACGCGACTCCTACAGCGCGGCCGAAAAAGAAAGGCAACTGGACGACTGTATCTGTTGTTGGGAGGAACGGGTGTCGTTTCCCCGACTTGCCCATGTCCTGGTTACAGTCAACCGTATAGTAAGGATGCGCGATAAGGATGCAAGGGCCTTGGAAGCCCATTTCGAAGCTTTTCGAGCGGGGCGCGGCCAACGAAAGTGGCCAAGAATGGACCGAGGAGGCAAGGATCAGGGTCCCCTTGGGAATGCTGCACATCCTTACTATGCGGGTTGACTGTAGTCCGTGTCCTGGTCTCTCGGAGAAACACTGACCCAGGTCAATCCAAACCAGGGTCAGTCGGGCGTTGCAGAATCCTGCAAGATCTCGCAGGATCCCGCACCCAAGCCCGGGTCAGTCTGCAGGATCCTGCAAGATCCAGCGCTCTGGCTGAACCCCCGTTTGCGTTGACCCCCGTCTCTTGAGCCCCGAGTCTCGGAGGGCCTGGGAAATCGAGCTGCGCCCGGTTGCGGCGACGAGCACCTCCAGAAGCAGGCGCCCGCATAAAACCTTTCTGGAAACGACGGCGACTTCGTCGCCACCGACCCTCGGTCGGAGAAGCCAGAGGGATCGGAGCCGGAAGGCGAGGGGCAACGAAAGCGGGGGGGGGCGACTGGGGACTGGCTCAGATGGATTAGGGGATGGAAGAATTGATTCACCCCAGAATGGGTGTCTGTTCGTCGAATCCATGAGACATGCTACGTCTTTTCCTGTAGATCCGGCGAGGAAATTCATGTTGGGGTGCATCACTTCTGTAGTCGATCCCCTGCTCGATCAGGGGGGACAAATCGTGCTGGGATCGGAGCCACATCGCTGACGCCTCGGCGACAGGCCCCCGTCAGCGAAGCCGCGCGCTTCTGGGCGGGATGGGCCGTCGGGCCAAGATTGGCGCGGCATGGGCGATTGGGGGTCGATGCGTCCCCCCCTGAGCCTACAGTAGGAGCTCGACCATTAGAAACCTTCCACAAGGAACCCAACCCTGAGACCCCAGGGCGCCACTTGATTCATGGTGCGGGAACGCCACGCTTTCCATCGCAACACCACCGAAACCCAAGAAACCCAGGGCACCCTGGAGACAAGCAGGGTGTTTCTTGGCATGGGTTTCTGCTGTATCACCCCCCAGCGTTGACTGGTCGAAGCTTCTGGGTCCCAGCTCGGGTCTCCCGCAGCCGTTCGGGGAGGCGCCGCTGCTGGAAGGCACCCACGAAGCTGGAAAGCGTCCAGGAAACGACGAGGACGCCCGAAAGCCTCAAACCTCGGGCCTGCCACCCCACTCGAGCCTATTCTCCCGAGCGTTGCCGCGGATCTGGGCCCGTCGCCGTGGCGGACACGTTCCCCTCCGAGCCTGTCTCTCGAGGATCCCCAGAACGTGTTTTAGCGCCAGCGTGCCCTTGTCCACCGAAGCCCTTCACGACGACGCAGCCGATGTAATAAGGGTCGAGCGGGGTAAACACTGTTTTCGTTGGCGGCGAAGCAGAGGCGGGCCGCTCCAGCGTGTGGCTACGCGGGGCAACCGAATGGCTACTTGGCAGGCGTGCAGGGAGGGAAGGACAAAGGCGAGGGCGGCCGCGCGGGGGGAGGGGGATGAAAGAGCGCAAGCGGGGTAAACACTTTTGCCGTCGGCGGCGAGGCAGAGTTGCTGCGCCAGCGGTGGAGCCAAATGGGGGCACCGAGAAGCGAATGGGCCAGCGTGCAAGAGCGGGAAGAGGGCAGAGGGGGCGGCCGCGGAGGGGGGAGGGTGGCAGAGGTGGAAGAGTTCTCACCCGAGTGTGGAAGCGGGGTGAACACACGCAATCGGAGGATCATCGAATATCCCCACTAGCGCTGCCCCCGAAGAATGGGCGCGAGCGCGCCGTCACTGCCCGGCCGAGGCGCGCTCCGACCGCCGGAACGCCGCGCGCCCGCGCATCGCGGCGATGCGGCTCGCCGGGGAGGGCTCGCACACCACCGCGAGCAGCTCGCCAGGGCTGGCCGCGTGGGCCTCGGCGCTGCAGGCCCCGCTGCTCTCGGGCTGCCCCGTCCGCCTCCTCGGCCCCTCTCCCCTGTCATTCTCCTCTGTCTCCTCCTCCTCCTCCTTCGTCGTCCTCCTCCTCCTCCTCCTCCTCCTCCTCGTCCTCCTTCTCCTTTTCTTCCTCCTCTTCTTCCTCCTTGTCCTCCTTCTCCTCCTCCTCCTCCTCCTCCTCCTCCTCCTCTTCCTCGTCCTCCTCCTCCTCTTCGTTCTCGTCCTCCTCGTCCTTCTCCTTTGCCTCCCTCCCGCACCCCATCCTCCTCGTTGTCCTCCTCCTCTTCTTCTTCTTCTTCTTCTTCCTCCTTCTCATTCTCCTCCTCCTCCTTCTCCTCTTCCTCCTCCTGCTCCTCCTCCTCCTCCTCCCTCCTCCTCGTCTCCTCCTACCTCCCCCTCCTCCTCGTTCTCCTCCTCCTCCCCTTCTCCTCCTCCTTCTCTTCTCCTTCATCCTTCTCCTTCTCCTTCTCCGTCTCCTTCTCCTTCTCTTTCTCCTTCTCCTTCTCCTTCTCCTTCTCCTCCTCCTCCTCCTCCTCCTCCTCCTCCTCCTCCCCTCCACTCCCCCTCAATATCCACGTCCTCTATTTCTGCCTCCCTCCTCCCCCTCCTCCTTCTCGGCCCCTTCTGCTCCTCGTCTCCTCTCGTTTCCTCTTCGCCTTCGCCTCCTTCCTCTTCATCCTGCTCCTCTTTCTCCTCCTCCTCATCCTCCTTCTCCTCCATCTCATCCTCGTCCTCATCGTTCTCCTTCTCTCCTCCACTCCCCCTCAATCTCCTCGTCCTCTTCTTCTGCCTCTTCCTCCCCATCCTTTTCCTCCTCGGCCCCTTCTGCTCCTCGTTTCCTCTCCGTCGTCGGCCTCTGCTTTCTCCTCCTCCTCCTCCTCCTCCTCCTCCTCCTCTTCCTCCTCCTCCTCCTCCTCCTCCTCCTCCTCCTCCTCCTCCTCCTCGTCCTCCCCCCGAGGATGCGGCCGCGCGCGCCTTTCCGCTGCGGCCGATGCTCAGGTAGGGGCGCTGCGCCTGCGCTGGGAGGCGGACAGTCAAAGCCTTGCCAGCACGAAGCCCACATGAAGAAAGCCGCCCCTCCTTTTGCTCCTGTTGCACCCGGACTTGAGAGGATCGCCTGAGGGAGCACTCAAGGATCCCAAAACGGCGCGGTGACAAACCCTGCGGTGACCTCGGAATCTCAAGAGATCTCGCCGCACGGCCCGTCACCGCACGGTTTTGACACCCTGGAGGCCCCAATCGCCCGAGACACATCCAGGCAGCGGCACGTGTTCCCAAACCGTGCTGTAACCCCGAATCTCAACTGACTCACCATACGGTGTGATCACCACCGTCGTTTCGGCCCCCCCGAAACGCCCAAGGTCGGTCCAGAGGAATCCCGGCCCCCCTCCGAGGCCCAGAGGGCTCTGCTTGCCCTCCACGGTGTTGCTTCTGCTGCCTGCGGCGGTCGGGAGCTCCTGCTCCGCGTGCCGCGGCGGCGGCCCCGGCGGCACGCTGCGCCTTGCGAGTGGATGGCGCATATCGCCCCGATCCGCGGGGTGAGGGGCCCTGACCTGCTCGGGGCGTTGACGCTCAGGGACCAGGAAACGCATGGCGCGCCGTGCCGAGGCGCAGAGCCCGCGGCGCGACGCCGCCATTGTGAGCCAAAGTTCCCGACCGCATCTCGAGAGGGGGAGGGGAAGAGGGCGATGACGACGGCGAGGAAGAGGAACACGTGGGAGGTGGCACAGATGGTGGGTTCTGGAAGCTCTGACCTCCCTGCCAAACATACAATCTCGGAAGATAGATGTTTGCTTCCGGCGGCGCAGGCGGCCTCGTCTTACTTCCGCCGCCGTCCGCCGAGGAAGAGATGTCATCTCTCTCGATCCTCCAAGGCGAGGCCCTTTCTGGAACGCCGCATACATGTGCGCGGGGATCGATCTTCTTCACCGGCGCTGTTCGGCGTGGCGAGACAGCTGGACGCGCGAAGGTTTCAGGCCCCTCGGGGGGCCCGAGGCTTGCCGAGGGCAACGCGCTCCACCAGACGCCGTCCACAGAATTCCCACTGTTGTGGGAAGTCGGCAGATGCCCCAGCCAGAGCCCACGTGCTTATCCTCGCATCCAGAATGGAGGTATTGTTTTCTCCAGACATTCTCGTCACCATCGCTTCCACGGTCGCACGACTCCTGGCACCACTATCGCCACCCTCCTCGCCAACGCCGCTCTCGCTCGGCCTCATGCTCATATTCTTCCCTCATCCTCATCTTCACTCGCACTATGACTATTCCCATCGTCCTGCTCGCCTTCACTCTTGCCATCTTCACACTCTGCTGCCGTCTCTCGATCCCGCGCAGACTCGGTCCCCACGGACCGCGAGCCGCGGTTGGCGCGCCCAGTGAAAGACCACAGGTGCAGTAACCTGCTGCTCTCATTGAACGACCAGCTCGTTCCTGAAGGCCCAAAAGGCTCCTTCTGAAAGGTTTGAATCGCGCAGGCTGATAAAACGCAAGCGGAATGACATCCAACTCGTTGTCGTGGTTGTCGTCGTCGTCGTCGTCCTCCTCCTCCTCCTTCCCTCCCTCCCTCCCTCCCGCCCTCTTCCTCTCCTCCTCCTCCTCCTCCCCTCCTCCTCCTCCTCCTCCTCTTTCCTCCTCCTCCTCCTCCTCCTCCTCCTCCCTCCTCCCCCTCCTCCTCCACCTCCTCCTCCTCCTCATCCTTCCCTTTCCTCGTACTCCTCCTGCCCCTCCTCTTCCTCCTCCTTCTACTCCTCCTCCCTCCTTCTCCTCCTCCTCTTCTCCTCCTCCTGGAGCGTGGCCGAAGGCGCGCCGCGGTCTGTGTCCTAACATGGTTAGGTCTCCTGCGGACTGCAGGAGGATAGTTCCTTCCCTCCTTCCCTCCTCCTCATCCCCCTCCCACTCCTCCTCCTCCTCCTCCTCCTCCTCCTCCTCCCCTCCTCCTCCTCCTCCTCCTCCTCCTCCTCCTCCTCCTCCTCCCTCCTCCTCCCTCCTCCTCCTCCTCCTCCTCCCCCTCCCCCTCCCCTTCCTCCTCCTCCTCCTCCTCCTCCTCCTCCTCCTCCTCCTCCTCCTCCTCCTCCCTTCCCTTGGCTTGACAATCTCAGTCAAGCGATGATGTCACGTCCAGTTGTCTGTGCTGTGGGCACCCTGTACAATCAAGCACCATGCGCGCTTTCGCTGGCATCACCGAAGAGTCGAACCACTGGCTCAACTAACCCGGTCGGAATTTCAAAAGCCTGCTGGGTATGGGGGGGGCACCCCCACCAGCCCGCCTCCACAGACCTCTACACCCACGGGACGCCTGTGGGACGGGTTGCGGGAGGGGCAGCCCCCCCTACCCATGCACGGCCCCCGCTACCTCCAGATGGAAGTAATTGGGAACCCGCACGCAGGCCCCTTGGCCCGAGCAGGCCGGGGCCTTCTTTGCCCCCCAACCCCTTCGCCAAGGCCCCCCTTCGAGGCCCTACCTACTTTGCGCGTTGCGCCCCAGGCCCTCATAATGTGGGTGGACACACTCATGATCTCAACATTCTTGAAGCCCTCAACGTTCCCGATTCCGAATGGCGAACGCTGGAACACCTTCTTCAAACTTCTCATCCGTGGCTGCCCCTCCCCGCGCCTCCTCCTGCATCTTGTTGAAGCGCGCGGCCCCGTCCCGCGCTTGGCCGCGAGAGTGCGGCCGCGCGGGGTGGGCGTGAGGCGGGGCAGAACATGGGACAGAAGCCGCACTCTCTGACCCGCAGGCTCGCTGACTCCGCGTCTGCGTGGGCCATCATACTCTGGATCCGAGCTCCGACTCCCTGGTCACGTTTCACTTCGAGCGGGCAACTTTCCTGCGATAAGAAGTTGTCGATGCTGGGCAGGAGAACTGAACGCACTTGGCACTCTGGTGGCCCCATCTGGTGCTCTTTGTCCTTTTCCATTGCCTCTGGGCACACTTTGTAAGCGGTCGTTCCGCGCTCGCATAGTCGATGCGTCTTCTCCATGAAAACCACTGAGCTGCTGGCATGCTCCAGCGTCCTGACGCGACCCTCGAGCTGGTAGACTAGCCCCCTCATCCCAGCCTCCTTGGACTCCTCCTTCTTCCTGGCTTTGGGGGCCCTTCTCTTCTCCGCCGCCCTCCTGGTCGTCTAACGAGAGCAGCCGCGAGCTCTTGGCGTGCGCCATCGAGATGCTCAACATGTGCGTCACGATCGCACTCGGGCTGGAATTCACATGCAAACTTGTCAAGATGCCGTGCCACGTGCTCGATCACACTATGGGTATGAAGCTCGGCGGGGTCGTCCGAGCCGAAACCGCAGAGGCGACCCTCGTTGGTAACAACGGTGGCGGTGGTCCTAGGGCGGCCCAAGTCACGGCAACATCCACGAACCAGTGCATGTGCCATATGTTTCTGCGCCTGTGCGTGTGACGTCAAGCAATGTAGGCCTGCTCGTCTACGACGTCATGTATCATGGAGAGAGCGCTGCTTTCCAATTCGTCGTAGTCGGTAGGGTTGTCTTCTCGTCGTGCACCCTTGACCCGCCGATGGTCATCTTCGCGTTCACTAGCTCGTTGCCGCTCCACGCGATGACCCTGCAGCGGGTTGAGCAATTTTGCTCCCAATTCATGGAACGTGGGGATGCTCCAATGCCGCCCAGGTTTGCATCATTTCGAATTGTGGTGAGGGGCCCTGTCGAACGCGCATCGATATGCTGTTTAAGGGCGTTTGCCAATGCGGGTTTTCCCCTGGCGCTGTCGAGTGCCATGGTGGAGTCAGAGGAAATGAGATACTCGACGTCGTTGAATGTTCTCTCACCCTCGTTCATGGTTGCCGCAAGCTTGCCGGCCCACGTCTTTGTCGGCACTGGCCGGAACCGCGTTGTACATGGCATAGCGTAGGCCGCGTATTTATACGCCGTATAAATAGATCGCTTCTCCTGAGATGCGGGATGGGATGCCCGCAGCTCTTATGATGCTACTGAACGCCGCGCAGGCTTGTGGGAAATCGAGCCTGG